CCATTTTTATTAAGGAGATCAAAACAAATTATTTATTTTTTGTTTTGAATTTGTTTTTAAAATAAAAAATTCAAAAACGGACTGAATATACTTTTTTTATTAATTAAAACCAAAGTAACCTCTTTTTATTTTATTCAATAAATATTAAAGGTTTAATTCGTTGTTTTATAAAAATTGATTAAAAATTCTATTTGTTTATTTTAAAATAAATTGTTTTTTAATTTTATGAAGATTTTAGTGACTGGTGTTCCTGCTGTTGGTAAAACAACTTTTTCTATTAAAATGGCAAAAAAGTATAATTTAAAACATTTAGATGTTTCTAATTTGATTAAAGAACATAAACTTTATGATAAATACTTAGAGAAATATGATACTTACGAATATACTGAAGAGAATGTAATGATTTATTTTAAGAATTTAATTAAAACAGAAAAGAATGTGATTATTGACACTCATTCACCAGCAACCTTTATAAATATTAATTTTGATTATGTTTTTTATCTTCTAGCAGATGATGAAACATTGATTAAAAGATATAAAATGAGAGAATACAATGATTTGAAGATCAGAGAAAATTTAGATAGTTCATTTTTTGATGTAATCGGTGAACAACTTGAAGATGAAATGAAATTGAATTTTATTAAAGTTAACAGTGGTGGTTTTATTGATGATAATGAAGTTATTACTATTGAAGATGCACTTAAAATAATTGAAAAATAAATTTTTATAATTTAATGATTTTAAAGAGTGTGAACGAATGTGTTGATTCAATTATAGAATTTAATGATTATATAGTGTTTGGCTCATATGATTATAATGAAAACTGTGGTAGAAAAGGAAAGATAATACTTTTAAACAAACATTCACTTGAGTTAGTTAAAGAAATAATAACAACCGGTACATTTCATTTATTGAGTACTAAAAACATCTTATACAGTGCTAATTCAACCGATGTTTCTTCTTTTGATTTAAACGGAAAATTAATTAAAAAGTATAATTTTAATGAGATTTGTACTAACTTAGCTATTAATAATGAAAATGTTTATGTTACAACACAGTCTGGTTCACTTTTATCTTTTGATTTAAATTTGAATCTAATAGTTTGTTTCAAAATAACAAATGATCCTATATGGACTAGTAAAATTATAAATAATAATATACTTTTAGGTGCTGAAGATGGTACGTTGTATAAATTTAATTTAAATACAAAGAAATTAACAGGTAAGTATAAATTTAATGAAGGTGTCATTGATATAAATAATTTTGATTCAACAATAATTTCCACATATGGAAATGATTTATATAATTTTAATGTTAAAGAAATGAAAGTATTAGAAACATTT